GTACAAATTTAGTTTTTGAGCTATTACGTGACATTTTTTCGACGAGATATAGATTTTTTTAAATTGAGTATATTGATTATTGCAATAAATGACTATTACTATTAAAATTCATAAGGACAGAAAAATTGACCGAAGGAAAAGAAAGTTATTGCACATACAAACCTTGCGCGGTCAAATGAAATTTTTGCTGACGTACGTGATAAAAAAGTTTCAACTCGACAAGATCACGTAATTTCGTTACCATTCCCATGCTTAAACTACTGTAGGTAGCCTGCCTCTTCCCTCTTTGTGTCATGGGTAGGTCACAATTTCGAGAGGGCCTGCGGAATATTGTAAAATGAATAAATGTTAGTCTAACATGACCTGCTACGTTAAAGAAGGCAGTTTTATTCGTGCAACGTTGGTGTAGACAACAAACCTTATCGTTAAAAAATGCTTCCCTCTACGTCCTACGAGTCGCCATTTTAATTTACAAGTTTCACGCCGCTTTTTATAGCCTGTTTATATTCAAGATGATGTTTAAATTTATTTGCTGACGTGACGCCGGCGCCATTTTTTTACAAGATTCCGCCGGCCCTCGCCAGATTGTGTGTGACCTTCCCATGACGCAACGAGGGCTTGCGGTGGAGGCAGGTAGAAAACCACGTTAAGACAAAGCAATATGATTATTTCCACGAAAGTTTAGAAGTCTTGTCCTCTTGTTGTATATAAAACAAATTGAAAACGGTTTGAAAACGTTTCAAAACATTCAACTACAGTTTGACTTTTAGTTCGTATAAGACAACTGGTAACTCACCGCACTATTGTTTTATTAGTAGAATCACGCTAGTATACTATTGCAAATGCTGTAATTTGATTGGCTACTCTACTCGATATCTATATAAGTATAGCGAAACAATAATTTTCCAGGCGCTTTTTTTAAAAAATGGCTTCCAGCTTGCGTTTTTCTGAGGTTTCTGAGGATTATTTTATGTTTGATCTCTGTTTCTAATAAAATAATTTGATTACTTCCTCTCGATCTCTATGAGGTGATAGATGATTCAGGCTTCGCCCACATCAACTATCACCTCATAGAAATCTCGAGCTCGTAATCTGATTGTTAATTAGATCACTACATGTGACTGCAGGACTTACGAGTTACGTAAGTTTCGGTGAGAGTTCAGGACCGGTGTCTTGAAGACAGTAAGAAATTATCATTTCAGTTTTGATTGATAATTTGAATTATCTTGATAATTTGAATTATAATTTGAATTATGTTGTTAAGAATTGCATGTGAACTTTATAATTAAAATATCACATGCACTGAACGTACTAAATACCTAAAAACACACTGAAAGGTTAAAAAGTTGTTAATATATTCGTTATTATGCGCAGTACTAAGTAATCGTTGACGAGACCCGATCATCATAATTCCATTTTAGCAATGTTAAGACTCAATCTTTTTGCTATTAGCCATTGATGAAAGTTTTTGAATTTGGTGTTAATTATTAGCTCAAGCTCTGTAACCGATTTTAATTTGCTGATTTGAGGATTCCGTTTTCGAAGGAGGACAAATTCAAACCTCCCACTCCCCCGCAAAATTCTTGATTTTGTCTCTATGAAATAACATTTTTCAAATTCAAACAGCACTTCTGAGTAAAAATATAACAGTATTAAAAACTTTAAAAACAGGTTTTCAATGGCGTTTTGAAGAACGATCATTTAAGTGTAGTTTCAGCAAAAATTCGCTACTGACATGAGTTTACATGTTTCCGCGTGATCCAAGTTTTGAGATCACTCGTGTAAGCTTTATATTCTATGCTCTGAATAATTGTGAATAATGTCATCAGTGGCATAAAATTATTCAGACTTGTTGGCAGGCAGTAAATTATTTGAGCCTCATAATGCGCTTCTGTAGTTTGTTAAAGAAACTGAATTAATATCTATCGTCATGATACTTACCCGTGTGGATGATTAGGTGTCAGGGACGTAGCGAACATGTGGGGGGGGGGGGTCACCCATGGAGTGAAACAAACAAAAACCGAATGCTAAATTACTTCATTAAAGACACTGATTGTTTTACAAACCTTCAAACAAATAAAATTATGTGTAAACTACAGTCAACTGGGACATAATTCGCTTGCAAAATCGGTTTAAAAACGCCGGAAATTTTCTGGGAGAGAACCATCAGACACTCTGTTACTTCGACAACTTAGTATACGACAATGGTAATCGATCAGAAAAAGATCCATTTCAATTATTTGAATTACACTCCAGCTAATTCACCCGAGTTTTTGGTATTTTTACATTAAATTTCAGGTAGAATCATCTGCCTCCCCCCCCCCCTTTGGTAGCCTGCGTGCAGTCTCGCGACCTGCGGCGATGGCAAGGAACTGCCCACAGGCAAAAA